CCACGGCCCCAGCCCCAGCCGCAACCACTTAATCCTCAATCTCAACAACAACCTCATACTCAAATGCAAGCTCTACCTAAAGGGCCAACTCAACCACAGGTTCAACCTCTGGCACAACAGCATCAAAACCAAGTCAACCCAGTGCAGCAGCTCCCACCTACTATGCAACCTCATGCCCAAATTCCATCACAAATATATCCAGCTTCTGGTGCTCATCCACCATATTCACAGACCTATCCAATGCAGCCTCATTCACAACAATATGTGCAAGTGCCACAGTATCAGCAGCCTCCCGCCCAGGTTCATCCCCCTCCATCTTCTCAAGCCCAACCACATCCTCCTGTGCAACCACAACCTCATTCACAACTCCAGCCGCAAATAAATGTGCAACATCATCCACAATCTCATGGCCAATTGCGGCCTCCTCAGGTTGGCCAGCCTACTCATGCACTGGGTCAGACCCTCCCTTCAACAGCCAATGCAGTTTCAGGTTTCCATTCCTATCCACAAACCCAGATCACGCAGCAAGTGGCTATAGGGATGTCACAGCAACCTCCAATGTATCCACATCCTACTAGTGGGTCTACGCCTCTGGTTCAAACTCATGGTCAGGTTCCTCAACCTCCCTTAATGCGCCCACCTCTGGGTCTAATCGGCAATCAGCAACCGGGGCTGGTACCTACTCAAGGTCAAGTTCCTGCGCAATCTCAACTTTATGCTACTGCTCAACAAGCAGGACACTCAATTCAGCAACATCCTGTTCGGCCTAATCAACAGCCAATGTCTCAACAGTACAGTCAACATCATACATTTCCTGGTCCATTTCCGAGCCAATCACACCAGCAAGGTCATTTTACTCACCAGCAGCCGTTGCAGTCTCAATTTCGCCCTCAAGGTCTTCCTAATGTGGTGCCTCAAAGTTTGCATGCGTATATTCAGCCACAGCAAAATGCCACCTTACCACCTCCCCCACAACCTCAACAATCTCAAACATATATAGGAAGGCCTGGGATGCAAAATCATGTCCAGTCGATTTCACAGGCTCATGGTGGATATAATACTACAGCCCAGGTTAGACCTGTCCAGCCTGCTTTAAGCCAGCCGCAAATAAATCCAAGTTATGGGAGCTACACGAGCAATGAGCACGAGTCAATGGATCAGAAGAAACGGTTAGCCCTAGAGAGTAAAGGTGATCTGTTACCTGACAAAACTTCAGGAAGGCCAGAAGTGGGAGTTCCTTACCAGGACAATGCTCAAAAGGATCTAAATTCTCTTCCAGCCAAATCAATTGATGACGAGTACAGACAGAGGGCCAGCAGTGATATAGATGTTCATAAGGGTGATTCAGATGAGCTTATGGACAAAAGAACTGTTAAGGAAGAGGAAAATGAGAATTTTTTGATGCCTAAATCTGCTTCCAAATCAGCTGATGCAACAGTTAAGCCAGACAAAGATGCCTGTGATGATGCTCCAAAAGAACTGGACCAGACTTTGGAAAAGCATGAATCTTCTGATGCTGCTGATGGTTCGATTAAGAAACTGAACTCTGGAAGAGATTCACATGACTCTACCATTGACAGAGGGGTTTTTCAGCAGTATGGGCATGGGATGCCACCACCGAAATATGGACCGTCTGCGCAGCAAAGGCCCGTTGGTCCTATGATAATATCACCAGTGCAACCTGCAGGCAGTGCTTCTCATGCCCAACTCCCTGGATATCCCCCCACTGCAATGATGCCTTCAGGGGATGTGCCTCAGGCTGGTCAGCCATTGAATTCTCTTGATCATCATCCACAATTCCTGAAGCAGCCTAGTAGTGCCCCCCTTGGTGGTATCCCTGGTCCAGGGTCTATAACAACCTTTGCTAGGGGGCATGGTCATTTTCTTCCACCAGGTGAATTCCCAGAGGGGATAACGGGAATAGGAAGAGCACCATTAAGTGGTGCTGAAATTCCTAGTGGAACACAACACTCAGTTAATCCAGCAGAGGCTGAAATGTTTCAAAACCAAAGGGTGAATCGGTTTGAAGGAAATCAACCAAACCCATTTTCCTCTGGGTCTTTTGAGAAGGTTCCATTTGGCCAACCTAGAAGTATGGAATCAGCTAGGGATAAAAGGTTGAAGGCGCCTATGGGGGAGCATTTAAGTCCTTTGCCAGTGCCTCGCGATCAAGGTGAGTTGGACTTTGATATTCAATTATTTCCTAAATAATTTATCAAGAAGAGTTAAAATCAATGTCCTAATTAATTACACTAAATAATGAACTTTGTTGTTGCAGGATCATGGCCACATGACAAACCTCCTCGCGGATTAGGATATGATTCTGGATCAAAATTTGAGGCCAGTACCGGGGTTCCCCCTAACAGATTATTGCCTCCACATCATCCTCCTGGTTCGATGCATTTCAAGGATAGTGGAGAAAGAGAAGCACCACTTGGTCCTCATGACGATGATAGAAAAAGGGGAGGATCTGGATTTGGTGTGCATCATATGGATTATTTGTCTGCCAGAAACCCTGATGGGGAGTTATTTAACATTCCACCACGTGGATTTGTAAGTCACTCAGGTTTTGATGATATTGGTGGCAGAGAGCCCCGTCAATTTATTGAAGGGCCTGGACATTTCAATTTACCTTCCAATCTAGCTGGCGGTTTATACTCTAATGGTAGGTTCCAAGCTTTGCCTGGCCATCCACATGGAGTAGAGACTGATGGTCTTGGGGATTTGAGAGGTGGTGAGCATACTACCTTTGGTCGTCCTTACAAACATGTCCAGAGTGGTGATCTGTTTGGAAAAGACATGCCTAGTCATTTGCATCATGATGAGTCTTTGGATCCTCCGAAATTACCAAGTCATTTACGTTTTGATAAACCTGCTGGCTTTGGTTCCTTCGCTGGCCATGCCTATATGGGGGAGTTGTCTGGGTTTGGAGATATTCCTGGTTTTGGTGAATCAATTGGACGCAACAAACCTGGTATGCCACGGTTTGGGGAGCCTGGCTTCAGGAGCAGGTATCCTGTCCCGGCATATCCGAATCACGGACTTTATGCAGTAAGTTTTGCCTTATGAACCCTGTAATTATCTTGTTCATTTTCCTTTGTTAGTATGTTATTTCTTGGAAATAGAGCTTTATTGCATTGTTATCACGTAATCGACATAATGTGCATGAAATTAGAATATCCTCTTATTATTTTTTTGTGAACTCGCAACTTCTCAGGGTGATGTGGACTCCTTTGATAGACCAAGAAAGAGGAAGCCCACGAGCATGGGATGGTGCCGCATTTGCAAGGTTGATTGTGAAACCGTTGAGGGCCTAGATATGCATTCGCAGACAAGAGAGCACCAGGATATGGCTATGGATATGGTCAGGTCTATCAAGGAGCAAAACCGAAAGAAACAGAAGTGAGTGTTCGATAGATTTTGTAACACCAACAAATTCGACAGCATAAATTCTAATTCCTTTTGCTACCATTTTGTAGGACTTTTAGTGATCGTGCTTCAGTTGAAGAGAAAGGGAGGACTAGAAAGGCAGTGTTCGAGAGCCGTGGTAGAAAGACTTGAGCTTGGGATAGTAGATAGGAAGTGAAAGGCTGTGTTTGATGGTTGTAACTAAGCCTTCAGTCAAGCATTTGCACCGCAATGTAGGTGATTAGCTTTACAATCTTTCTTCTTCTTCTGGGGGTTTTTATCCTAGCTTTGTCATTTCAGGTTGCTGCCCTGTTGTTGGAAGATGGTTTGGATTGGAAGTTTCTGTGGCAGTTAAGTTGTTTTGCCCATGGTTTTGAAAACTTATTTTTCCTGTATTAGGACAATTATGTCAACTTAGTCCTGGTGGATCTGTAGCTATATTCTGCTTTTTCTTGCTTATGCAACCTAGTTCAGGGAACGTTTCCTGCTAATTAAATGTTGCTATGCGTTAGTTTCAGTTCTTATGCGAGAGTTCCTATAATATGTATGCTGTGATCTTACCTCTGTCTTCTAGTGCTCGTTCATGCTTCGGGAATGAAATAGTAACTAATTGTGATGCTTCATTGGATATGGGATAGTGAAGACCTGATCCTTAAAATAATAACCATGGAAATCATATCAAATCATACCTTTTTTTGTTATTCCTTAATTTTTGTTGGGTCAACAGAAGATTACTTTTCCATAAAGAATTGGTATAGAAGTTCTTCTGTCTGCTTCCTAACCAAAACGCTACCTTCTCTATTTTGAAAAAAGAAAAAAAAAGCAAAACTGTATGTGAAGATCAGTTTTGGCCCTGACAGTGCACAGTTTGCTGTGCAGCATCTCAAGTAAAAAGGGGCATTGCCACATTGGAATGTCCCCTTCACTTTTCTTAACTAAATATTCACTTTGCGTAAGAGGGATTCTTATGGCCACTTTTGGGCTGCAGTGATACATAAAGCAGAGACGCACACAGTATCCAGAAAGAAAAAAACTGCTGAGACACAAAGACAACCTGTGATCCATGAACGTACTATACAGTTAGCAACTGGAGTTAAAATATAACTTCCGCTTTACAATTTACCATCCTAGTTTTTAGAATATGTAGAGAACTTGCAGTTTCTAGAAGTCTAAATTACATAAAAAAACTTGAATGGAACTGGTTCTAGTGGAACTAAATCATATTGATGGTCCATATAGCTGACCTCAGCTGGCTTGGGATTGAGGCGTAGCACTTGGTGAGACATTCTTTTCATTGCTTGGAGATGCTTTTCTGGTCTTAACATTGAAGTTCAGTTAGGGCGTCTTTTTTTGTTTTTCTATGGTGTCTCCATGGTTACTAAAATTGACCAGTGTATGAGCTGCGGAGTAATGTACCATAGCAACCATTAGATTGGTATATCAATACAACTGTGCAATAATTATTATAAAAATTTAAAATTGGTGGCTCTCGGTTAACAGACTATCAATATTAGATTGCTGTTTTTCTTGATTGAAGGGAGGGGGTCTGCATTATTTAATGGCCAACCAAAAAAAAGACTATGAAAAGACACATTTATACTCACAAGACTGAAATCCCCTAGTTCAGATGACATGTAAAATTGGCCGGTGTTTGAGCTGCGGAGTTATGTACCATAGCAACCATTAGATTGGTATATCAATACTACTGTACAATAATTATTATGAAAATTTAAAATTGGTGGCTCTCGGTTAACAGACTATTGATATTAGATTGCTGTTTTTCTTGATTGAAGGGAGGGGGCTTGTATTATTTAATGGCCAACCAAAAAAAAGACTATGAAAAGACACATTTATACTTATAAGACTGAAATCCCCTTAGTTCAGATGACATGTAAATGGGGGTTTGGTCGAAGGAGATCAGTTAGTGAAGATAATTAAAGCTTGTTCTTCATAATACACAATCCTTTGAACTTTGAATATAAAATGCATAACTTCTGTGTAGGGGGTTGGGAGAAGCTTCTCCTGGCCATTGTCTTCTGCCACACAGCAGTTTTAAAATTTGTTTTTACTATAGGGGTCTTTTGTTGTGTATCTCTTTTAGTACTTGCCTGCAGTTTTATTTTGTGATGTTCTCTCATGCCTTGAGGATGCATCATAATTTTCATGGTTCTTTACTCGTTAATATTGGAATTCCTGACTCCCTCTGGCCTAGGTTTGTTAAGCTAATTTGTCTATTGCACAAGGTTATTTCACTAAGCTAGGTTGCTAATGTTTCGATCTCTCCATTCTTGGGACTGGTTACCTGACAGATGTAGCTTAGTTGTAAAGACTAGGTTTTAATGATGGAAAATATTCTTGAAGTTGATCTGGTATTATTATGATATTGAACCTCTTTTTGAGAAACATCTACGAAGTTCTCTGGTCATCATAATTTGAATACTTTGCAGGATGTTGACCATGTATTTAGGTTATTCTTTATTAAGACTTTGATTCGTTCTATATCATCAAAGTGGAATTTAGCCATAAGACCATACAGGTTGCTGAAACAAAATTGATGGACATACAATCAGAGGCGAATCTAGGATTTTTTAAATATGGGTGCACCAAGAAAAATGTATTAAGTGGGAATTGATACTCAGTCTTCAAAGTCAAAAGCTCAACATTTAACCATGTGGACCAACTAGGCTTTTTATAGTACGGATGCAAGAATATAATATTATACAAATGTTAGAAAATATATACATAAAATATCTAATTTTACGAAGAGACCACGGGTTCGGGTGCCCTATTTTTTGCACCTAAATTCGCCACTGCATACAATGTCAGTGTACTAACATAAAGGAAAGCCACCGAACAGAAAGTAATAAAGACGGTCTATGACAGTCCATACTATAACAAAATTGATGGACAAACAATTCAACATCATCGTAATTAACATCAAGAAAGAACAGGGTACAAAAAGGAGGCTATAATCCTTCACGGCAACACTAGTGTAAAGAACTGTGAACAAAAAGGAACCAGGATCTGTTGGAGACGTGGATTTTCACATATTTAATAATCTCAGTTGTTGTCTATGATGGAGGGTTGATGTTGATATGGAGAGCTGGAGACCACGACTAAGATTCCTGAATATATGATTAAGAGGTCATAAAAAGTGTTTTCTGTTGCAGTTTTTTTGTTAAATATGTATGAGCCATTTTTATTTTAGTTTTTGATCAAAAGGGGTGTATGAGCCATTTTTGATAAATAAGAAGTGTTCCCAAATCGTTGTTGTTAATGATGCCTGTAGTTTTGACAACAATTGCTTGATATAGGTTAAACCATGGAGCTTCATAAACTTTAGTGCCAGAGACACGATGCAGAGTTTGTAGATTGAGGTGCTTTCTTAGTATGTGTTACAGGAGCATAGCAAGGTTACATCTAACCATCTAAAAGGATAAGGGAGCCTTTTGTATTCTGTGTTAATCTGACTAGGAACTTGTATATATGAGCTTTTAGTCAGGTTATGGAATCCAGTTCTTTGCCTTGGAACACATGCATGTGCTGCTTTTGAAGTGTTTTTGTTAATACTGTGTTATGCAGAAAGCCAGAAACTGGGATATCTGACGAGCCAAAACATTACTGAATTTTGCATATACTAACTTGCTTTCTTTCCTTGCTCGATTTTGGGGGGAAGCCTAGGTGAATGTTAAGTAATAAAAAGGGCGAACTGCAGTTGCTGTACAGCATATTATGTAGTAAACATGCAAAATAAGCAATGGTAGTTCATATTGCTAAAAAATAGTTTAGCAATGTTGCAAGCAGGAACTCCAGTTCCACATGGGAAAATTAGTCTAGCTAAGTGCAGTACCACTATATTCTGCTGGACTAATGTTGACAGGATGAACCCAATGTAAGATCTTCTCAATTGCACGACGAAGCAGCTAGACATCCCTGAGGGATCCTTTGTCATTAATTAGGTATATGTTTTTCCATTGCTAGTTGATATTTACATGTGTTCAAGTTGAACCTATTGAATGATGAGGTTCTTCTGTTACCAGGAGTGGTTACACATTTCAACTTCCATTGCAGGCTGTTTATGGAAGTACAACCATCAGGAAGAATGTTGTAGTATTTGTTTGTAAAATAAAAAGGGGATCCTCAATGTAGGCAGTGCTTTTATTTTTCTACCTTTGTTCTTTGATAAACAAACTCTTTAATCTTTCCCTTCATTTTGATATTAGAGCTGGAAGAGTAAATACAGCTCTAAGTTAATTTCACCCTGTAAAGGCTGTTGTGGGATGTATTAGTTACAGTAAGTAAAGATGATTGATGTGAAGATATGTACACTTTTCTTCAAGTTAAAGCAAATGATTTGTAAATGTAGGCAGTGCCTTTTTTTTCTTCCCATTTGTTGATAAGTAAGTGTTTCTATCTCTTTTATTTTCATTTTGGTATTTAGAGAGGATAAGTATAGACAGCTCTTAAGTTAATTTCACCTGTAAATGCTGTTTATTAATTGCTGGGTGAAAGTGATTATTGAGGTGAAGAAAAATAGGGCTCTTGGAGTCCAGCTTGGGGGCAGTTGTTGAGTATAAATTGGACAGAAGCTGGATGAAGTAAAAATATTACTGCTCTGAAGCATGTTTTATTCCAACCCAATGGTGAGTTTGTTTTGACGGAAAGTATTTTTGATATATGTATTTTTTTTGTAATGTTACTTTTTTTTTTGGTGGTTGTAACAAAATAAGTTGTAAAGAAAACCCTTTTCTTAGTGAGTGCGTTTAGGTAGAAAGAAAAATGTATTTTGAGTAGACTTATTATTCTCCTCAAATTTAAAGAAAATGAAGAAAGAAAAATGTATTTTGAGTAGATTTATTATTCTCCTCAAATTTAAAGAACATGATTTCATTTCATGATATAAGGAAAATATTTTTAAAAAATCTCCTGATCAGTCGCCTATTCAATTCTCAATCTGGATTTGGGTTAGGGTTGAGACTTGGTTCAGTGTCGAAGTTGTGAGTTGAGTCTTGAGTCGGGATTGAAGTTTGGTTTTGGTGTCTTGGGGTCAGGTTTGGAAGTCTGGTTGAAGTTGGATTCGAACCATAGGTCTCGATCAAGGTTGAGAGGTTGAGAATCGAGTCGGGGGTACATAATCAAGTTTCTTGTTTGGTCGAGATTTTGGGTCTGATTTGGTGTCATAGTATTTGTCCAGATTATATCTAAATGATATTGGGATAATACTTTCTGTATACTAACCAAATACCCGAACAAGTAAGGAAGTAACTTATTTTTCAAAAAATTATTTTTAGTGGAAAGCATTTTCTTTTGTACCAAACAAAAGGATATGTATATAAAGTTATTTATATATTAGTTTTTGCCAAAGAATGGGTAGAAAGAAAAATGTTAAACGAGACTAGAATATGTAAATACTAGACAGAGGTGTCCGTGCCAGCACGGGTCCAACACCATAAATGTTTAGTATATGAGTAAGATTATGAACTATTAGTGTATAATATTGGTTGAGTGACTCGATTAATGAGTGTGTGATATAGCGTTTGAAGTGTAATTATAGTAAGATGTACATGAAGGAAATCATATATATACTAAAAAATTTGGAAAGATAGAACTTTATAAGATAGTTATGTACATTTTTTTTTACATGATAAAGAACATGTTTGAAAGTTAGCTAAGGTGTATTCTTAATTGTTCCATTAAAACCTGTTACATAAGGCACAAAAGATAATGTATTAGCATTCATACATTTGGAAGAAGGTATGCAATTTGCAAGGAAACCAAATAACACAAAAAATGAAATATTCAACAAAAGTAGTTAAGGAAACATATTTTAAAAGAGAATTGTGCAAATATAGCAGAAAGAGTTTGTTCTATGGTAGAATGAAATAAGAAGAATAACAAAAGCATATATAAAAATATAGAGCGGGTAATTGAAAAACACGTCATAACAATTTAGATAGCAAATAAAAATAAGGGAAAATTTTCAAAATGTCAATATTTTAGCATTTAATAGGACACCTTAGCTACACTTTCAATATTTATTAAAAATGTCAATATTTTAGTTTGTTATATTGCTAATTTATGTATTTTTTTTTATTTAACTTAATAAAATACAACTAAGCAAATAACAAATTAAAGAAAATCAGGGGAGATAATCTTTCAAATTAAGTAAATAGTGTTGAAAATATATTATTACTTACTTTACAGATTAGGAGACTAAAATAGGCACAAATTCTCTTGTCTTCCTCATCATCCATTAACGACTTTCAATTCTCCATTGGTGATCCTCCTTCTTCGTAGAAGGCAAGACAAGATTTTTGCCGAGAAAAAGGTGATCGACACAAATTAAGAGACTAAAATAGGCGACAAATTGTCACGTCCCAAGTCCCATTGAGACGGACAGACACCTGATCCCCTAAAGGTCCGAGAGAACCAACTTATGTATTGTTCTTATTGTACATGCAGCTATGATAACTATAAATCTTTGATGAGTATAGGTCAAGTACCTTGATAAAAGACCAACATAGATAGGCCCAAAATAAATGTACATGCTAGGCCGTTGAAGCCTTAATTACTAGAAACAAAACATAACCACGCTTTACTTTGACATTTGGTCTACACAGCCTCTAAAAGATAGACACTTAGCTTATAACAAGACAAGACCCCATCATACACCTTAACTAATATATAATCTCAAAAATATACTAGAGACTCAGCAAAGCCTTGAAGCAACCTGGAGCTCACCAAAGATCGTTCAGTATCCTATGCTTATATTGAGAGATTTTATTAGCTTGAGTATCCTATGCTTACATTCACCTTTGCTTATACTTGTGGAATCATGTACATTACATTCTTTGGTTATACTTGGGGAATCATGTATATTACATTCTTAGCTTTAAGTTTATCTTTTCTTTATAGACTTTGTAGTATGTGACACAATGACCAACTGATCAGTGGTAGGAGGGGATGACCCATGCTGGGTATTTTAACCTCTAGGATGCGGTCCTCATAAATATACAAATCGGGATCGACCCATACTAGGCTTTTAGCTCTTGGGCTGCCACCCATAATAATATAGATTGGGATCGGTCCATGCTAGGTATTACCACCCTCGAGGTGCCACCCTTAAGCACAAGAATTAGGATATGCCCATGCTAGGTATTTTAACCCCTGAGCTGCCACCCATAATTATATAGATTGGGATCGGTCCATGCTAGGTATTACCACCCTCGAGGTGCCACCCTTAAGCACAAGAATTAGGATATGCCCATGCTAGGTATTTTAACCCCTGAGCTGCCACCCATAATTATGTAGATTCACTTTACATTGTCTCTTTAATCCTTGAGATTGTTCTTTTGATGTTAATGACTCTTTTGAGATTGTGGATATGTGGATAAATTAATTGAGGCAGAAAGCAATAATACATTAAGAAAATGTAACTTTGATGTGCTACTTAGGAACTTATATGACTCGTGAACTTCATTTGGGCACAAAGAACATATATAGGTGATCCACGAAGGTGTGTGGCAACTACCTTACATGTAGTAAATGATTCATTAAGATGTATAGCAATTGAGCAAGTAATTCTTCTTACAAGATGCTTCATTTAAAACACATTTGGACATTTCACATGGGGGCATATGATAGCTTAACACTTAGTAGAAACTGTAACTTCTCAAATGTAGAGACAAGGACTATATAAGATGATATGATAACTAAACACTTAGTATACGATATCAAATGAAAGAGTGCATAAACATCCAAACTAATGAAGCCCATGACAGAACCCAAATAAGGGTTGTACATTCCATGTAAGGGGACATAAAATGAACAATGGACATAATATGCATCTGACATATAAAAATCTATAACATGTATAATGTAGGATCTAATTGACTCAATGAACTTCATTTGACTTGGTGGATAACTCATGAAACTTAATGTTTAAAGTACATTTGTCAACTAGTACTTGGAAGAATAAACACACCGATATTGGATAATGAACACGTATAGAAGTAGTCTGACATATTTTGAGAACTGGGATTGTATAAGGAAGACCATTAGCTACATTGGAAATTGTACACCCTCACATTGTATCTTTTACCATGAGGATCACTTAGAGATCTCAATTTGTTGGTACACATAATATAGGACTTCATGCCAAATACATACCTCAATTCCCAATTCATATAGCTTACACAGTCTCAACCTGTCTTTTAACGTCATAATCTTCATCTTGGTGATCTTAATTTGTTATTCTCCTTCAATTATTTTTGTAACCTTCTCTTAATCTTTGGAAGAGAGGGGCAGAACATTGGCTGCTAACACATATAGCTATCTTTATTTCACTCCCCTTGAAGAACTGTCCAATATACTTGAAGCAATAGAGGAGAGAAGGTGATCTTGTGGCTGCTTTGGAGAAACAAGATGAAAAATACTTAGAACCCTAGTGGGAATATTGGGTGGCTGTTTCATCTTGAGAGAGAGAAATATATGAACTTGAGAGCTTAAAATTTGGATAAAAGGAAAATGAGATATTTGTATCAGAGTTTTGCCACCTTTCTTGTACTTCTTTTGCAATCACCATGTGTCTTTAATTTAGGCCACACAAAAAAGTAGGTGCTGCACCTACTTTTTAATTAAAATTATTTCTTGTGGGCTTGGAAAGATTGAGCCTTGGACTGCCATTCTTTTTACTTTTTTTCCCTTTTCTTGGACAGATTTGGCCTCAAATTGACACTTAATTTAGGCCTCCATATGCCCATAAGTCAAAGCAGGTGATGCACCTACTTGGTCCTATACCTTAAGTAGGTGATGCACCTACTTGTCACCTAGTATCTTAATTTAGTCAAGCAAGTACCTCACCTATTTTACACCACTTTTCATATCTTAGTTTCTTTACAAGATCTTAACATTAATACACACTTGTCCACTTATGACTTTAATATCAAATATCACCTTTTACTATCTCGAGTTCAAATATTTTTTCACGTTCACTCAATTGTATAAATATTGGAAGTTATGGGGGTATTACATCATCCCCCTTGGATCATTCGTCCTCGAATGAGAGGTCTTGCTCAAAACAAGGTCAATTGTGTGTATTTTTTAGAATTTTTGCCAGAGTTTCCTTTGTAAATCAAACTGTCCAAAACATATTAGCTGACCAAAACCACGTATGGGCATAGGGTGTTGCAGCAGATGTAGCATATGTAATACTCAAATGAAAAGTCTCCTATTAGCCATATATAATTAAGTAACAATTTTGTACACCACAATTTATCGTTATCTCCCTTTTATAAACCAGCCTAACAAATACTTGGAATACGAGAATTGTAAATACTAGAACAAGTTAGCTAATGTGAAACA